AAAGAATCGTTTTCGAACAGAGAGTTATGAACAGGCGCCCCGAATCAGGCCGTTTCTAACCGGGATCAATAACTGTTATTAACTCTTGTGTTATTAACTGTTAAGAAGATTTTCTAACGCCGCCGAGGTTTATTAACAGTCGTATTGAATCGATGATCACCACGCGTCCTATCATCTTGCCTGGCTCGCAATCTGCTACCCTATCCTCATTGTAATCCTTGTCTCCATCATCTGGGTCGCACAAAAGCATGCGCAAGGCTTAGGCACGGAGATTAACCTCGCCATCTACCTTGAACTCGGTATCTTACGCCTACAGCCTCCGACCGGACTTTTGAACAATATATAACCGGGCTGATAGACCCCTGGGCTTTTGAACCGTTAATTAACATGTTAATAACCTGTTAATAAACACCGGGTTCATTATTCCGACTTTCAAACTTTACCCTAAACGGCAACCAGTTTGAGGGCGTGGACCGGGATGGGCGGTTTGGTACTGCTATTGCCTTTGTGGATTTCCAGTGCTGGAGTTATGCATATCATTTTCAGAGGCTCCAGCCACCGCAAGCTAAGCAACATACCTTGTACTTGTAATCGAGGAGCACCTCCGCGATCGTATCGTTGGCGCCAACGGACTTTCTTTCGAGGCCTTTTGGCTCGCTCATCGCTGGGTCGTCTGGATTTCGTGAAATCTCAGACTCTAACGGCATACTGGAAGGGATAAAGAAGATATGTCGGGGACCTGCTCACATGGGGGCAGGTGGTGGACAGAGAGCCTGCTGTGAGAACGCGGCGTCCGACTGACTGAAGTCCTTGCCACAATACATGCACCACGTCTTCGCATGCAGGTTGGTCGTCACATAGTGATGACCGATCATCTGTGCGGTTTTGCAGGTGGTGTCATATCCCGCCACCACGCACGGTCGTCCGACAATGAACTGTTTGGGATGTGTGCCGAGGTGCGAGACCGCCTTGTCCTGCGCGCTCACATACAGTCGCTCAGCGCAACCGTCGACAAGACAGACGCTGCCGTTGTCTTCCAGCACAGCAGTCAGAGCCAGCGTGGATGGGCCAGCATCAGGGAAGGGCGTGCTGGGCACGATGTAAGCCCTGGGGAAGACAGCAGAGAAGGAGGAAGCGCCTGGAGAGGGCTCAACCGGCTCCGTCGCTTGCACGACGTCGTGAATTGGAGCAAGGGCCGTCCTCGCGCTCTTCTGAGGTGGGGGCTGGGATTCCCCGTCCGTCTCCGACGCGGACGACTGGGATTCCCAGTCGCTGTCTTCGCTGCTACGGTGCTTGGACGACCGGGGAACACAGGCCGGTTGCTGCGACACACTACTATCTCCTGCTCTTCCCTCGGGGCTTTCATCTCCGGCGGTTGGGAGTGCGAGTCGCCAGAGACGAGGGGGAGCTGGGCGGCCGTAGGGCGATCGTTGGAATGGTGTTGCCGACCGCGAACGACAAGCCGAGCATTTGGGTCTCGAGAGGCGTGTCTCTACAGATAAGGGAACGTGGATTACGGCTGCGGCGTTGGGGTTGTCGCATTTCAGGTACTAGAGAATAAACACTTGAGGTCGTTGAATTCTAGCCACCGCAAGCAAAGGAACATACACAGTAAATGGAGAACAACTCGGCGATCGTGTTGCCCTCGTCGGCTACGTCTCCTCCAACAAATTCCGTTGGCCCATGGGGGTTTGCTTGAGCATGTTGAACAGGATCGCAGGGATATCAGTCAAATAAATTTTTCGCTCCTTATAGTTATAGTAAAACGCGAATTATTTCGCCCAAATGTTATAGTGGCCCCTCCAAATATTTGAGAGGGTTGGAGAGATGCCCCTCCCAGATATTTGAGGCGATCCCCAAATAGTTGGGATGTATGTAGGGAGCAAGGGGAGGAGGGTACTCCCCTTCCACCAAATATTTGCCAAATATTTAGAGTCAGCATTATATAGGAAGGACCATGCTCTGCGTGCGCCGTGGGTCCCCCTTGTGATTACTCCAAATATTTGGTATATAATTCACCCGAATATTCTCCATTTGGTACGGTAGCATGCCCTGTAACGTGAGTGCTCATTCTGGCTTATCTATTACATGCTCGACTATATCTACTGCGGGCAGACGACAAGAGAGCGTGACCGCACACCGGACACCGTGCGTCGTGCACCATATTGAACAAACGATCG